CCTTCCTTCCTTCCTTCCTTCCTTTCTTTCTTTCTTTCTTTCTTTCTTTCTTTCTTTCTTTCTTTCTTTCTTTCTTTCTTTCTTTCTTTCTTCCTGACAAGCTCTTATATAGCCCAGGATGGCCTTGAACTCGATCTACAGTTGAGGATGACCTCCAACATTCGATCCTCCTGCCTCTACCTTCTGTGTACTGGAAAAACAGCCCTATAGTTTTCTATTATTGGGCCACTACATCTGGTTTATTTGGTGCTGAGGATCAAGCCTTAGGATCATGCATTCTAGGCAAATATTTTACCAACTGAACTACACCCCCAGGCTCAAAGGGTTAAATTTCAGAGATAATGTTTTATAGATAAACTTCAGCTACTCTTTCGTGTTAAGTACTTGGATAGAGAGAAATTCAGTTTACTGTTTGCTTTTCTGATTTTTCTCAAGTTATGCTTGATATGAACACTATCAGCCAATCCATATCCTAACCCAGAATTCTTTGGCCCCATCCTATCCATTTTCTGCAAAAATGTATCCAACTGTTTAGTTTACTCTCTTTTATTTATTCCCCTATTATCTGACTGAAATTGATTTCAAAAGACCCGAGTCTCTAAAAAAAAAAACCCAGTGGATAATACTTATCTGAGAACTTACATATATATAATATATAATTAATAACATATTAAATATTATATTATTAATGAGCAGTTGGTATTGTTAATAACAGCCTAGCCATAATAATGAGCAATTTCTATTATATAATGAGATCATTAGGTGCTAATTTCTAATTTATGTGTATATAATTTATTCTGTGAATTGCTTGATGATGATTCACATAATAAAATTCTTGTGGATTTCAATTGAGAATTCAGCAATACCTTTTGGATACAGCACACAGAGCATGCTATAAAAGGTGTAGGAGATACTAAATTATTCAGTGCATTACTAACAATAGGGCTTTGATTTGTCTTTTAATTATATATTTACCAGCTAATAAGATGGTTCAGCAGGTAAGGAAGCTTGCCATGCAAGCCTGACAACATGAGATTAATCCCCAGAAGCCATGCCTAGGCAGAAAGACAGAATAGACTCCAAAAAGTTGTCCTCTGATCTCCGCACAGCATCATGAGCACAGCATCATGACACACTATGCCCCATCTCTCTCTCTCTCTTTCTCTCTTTCTCTCTCTCTCTCTCTCTCTCTCTCTCTCTCTCACACACACACACACACACACACACACACACAATGAGGTTTTGAATTACATACTTGTCAGTATAAGTAAGGATTAGAAAAGCAGTTTCTTAGCTGAGCATGATTGCCCATGTCTTTAATCCTAGAACTCAGGAGGCAGAAGCAAGTGGATCTCTGTGAGTTTGAGGTCAGCCTGGTCTACATATTAAATTCTAGGCCAGCCACAGGTACATATCAAGACCCTGCTTTAAAAAAGAAAGAAAGAAAGAAAGAAAGAAAGAAAGAAAGAAAGAAAGAAAGAAAGAAAGAAAGAAAGAAAGAAAGAAAGAAGGAACTTTGTTTGTTTGCTTTTGGTTTTTCAAGACAGGGTTTCTCTGTAGTTTTGGTGCCTGACCTGGATCTCTCTCTGTAGACCAGGCTGGTCTCGAACTCAGAGAGATCCACCTGGCTCTGCCTCACGAGTGCTGGGATTAAGGGTGTGCACCACCACTGCCTGGCCAGAACTCATTTTTAAGTGATGTTATATCTTCTGTTGGTTTTGACTGTGGACAATTTTCCTTTGTGTAAGAGCAGAACAAAATACACAAAACTGCACGCCTTTAATCCTATCACTCAGAAGTCAGGGGCAGGTGCATCCCTGTGAGTTCAAGATGGCTTGCTCTACACAGCAACCATCCAGGGTTACATAGTGAGATCCTGTCTCAAAAAAACAAAAAGAAAAATAAAAAGAAAAATTGCAAACTTAAAACAGGATGTTTCACTGCCTTTTGCCAGGAAGTTATAAAAAAATATACACAGCAGTCATTTTCCCAGTAAGCAAAATTCTCAGGATGTTAAGGGTAAATTATGTCCTATTAGGTGAGAAGCATAAGGCATTGCCCAGCTAGACAACATGCCGGGCTCCCCTGTCCCAGCTGCACCTAGATTTAACTCTATTTTAAAATTTATTTATTTATTTACATTTATTTATTTATTTATTTATTTATTTATTTATTTAGTGTGTGTATGTGTGTATGTGTGTGTTGTCTGCTTGTGTACCACATGCATGAAGTGCCCTCGGAGGCCAGAAGAGGCCATCAGATTCCCCTGACCCTAGGGCTTCAGATGATGTGAGCCACCATGTGGTTGCTGAGACTCGAACCCTGGTCCTCTAAAAGAACAATTCATGCTCCTAACCACTGAGCCATCGCTCCAGCCCCAAGATTTAACTTTAATTGCTCCCTATCATCTCTCACAGGAGGAAATTTCTAACTGTCATAAACTTTGTGGGACCAAGTCTGGTGTGATTCACTTGTACTGTGGGTAGAAAAACGGGAGGGGGATATGACAGGCAACTCTACTTCTATAGAAAGGCGCCCACATTTATACCTAAGACAGGGGATTGCGAAAAGAGGTGTTCTTGATATCTCTTCAATACTAAAAGGCATTGACTTTTGCAGAGAGTTGGGAATGGAGTTGAGCCCAGGCAAAATCCTAAAATTATAAAAAAAAATAATAATAATAATAAAAAATAATAAAAAATAAAAAAAAAAGCCCTCCCTAAAATGAGTAAGATTGTGGATGAGCCATCCGGATTCCTAATTAGAAGAAGTGGGGGAGGGGAGGAGAGGGAGCTTTACACATTATTGTGTGAGAGCATACGTGGAAAAACATGAACAAATATCTATTCACCCAAATAGGGAATCAGTGACAAAGCGAAGTAAGGATATCACCGAATTCCAACTAGAACCAACGAGTTTCATAGGGGTTACTTATAGGAGTATGGGTGAGAGGTACCTATGGGGACGAAAATGACTCAAAGGCAGATACATTACCAAAAGGCCACTCCAGCATGGGTGACAGCTCATGGAGCTCATCGCACAAGTTGCAGGTAGCTCGAGAGGCTGGAGAGAGCCTCTTATTTGCAGCTCACCTTCTCTTAGCCTCTTCTAGGCAACTGGTCTGGTCTGAGAGTGTCTTTCAGCAGTCCCTACTGCTTATATAAGCTTTGGGAGGGAGAGGCCTAGAGAATCTGGTCTGTTCCAGGGACTTCCTGAAGCTATTGATTTGTTTATTTCCTGAGTCTTAAGGTGCTTCCCTGAAGGATTGAATGTTTTACATTTCTTTAGAATGTAAAATATTGATGTCTTAATGAGCATACCTTCAAGATGGCATTTAAAATTTTTATGTATGTTTTTTCTTTGTGTCCGTATGTGCAACACATGAGTGGAATGCTTCCAGAGTCCAGAAGAGGGCAGTAGAAACCCTGGAGCTGGAGTTAGAGACTGTGTGGGTACTGGGGATTGAATCCAGGTCTTCTGAAGGGTCACCAGTGCTCTCAACTGCCGAGCCATCTCTTCAGACCCAAGAGGGAATATTTTATCTCATAGAAAATTGTTACACAACACACACACACACACACACACACACACACACACACACACACACACACACTAGTGTAAACCCACAAGTTCTTTCAAAAAAGGGCAGTACCACCCTGGCATGCTTGCTTAGAAACAATGGTCAAAGGGGGCCTGGTAAGATTGTTCAGTGGGTAAAGGCACTTTCCAGGCAAGCCTGGTAATCTGAGTTTGATCCCCAGATCCCATGGAAGGGTGGAAGTTGTCTTATGACCTTCACACATGCACCATGGCACACACTCTCACACCCCTACCATACACACACAGAAGCAATAAATAATAATAATAATAATTTAAAAAAAGGAAACAATGGCCCAAGATGTAGTCGTATTTTCTGTTTCTAGAGTTAGGCAAACCATTCAATGATAAGGTGATTAGAAGTTCCTACTACACAATCCCAAGTACTGGAAGTAACTCCTGAGTGATTCTGTTTCTCACAATACAAATAGCAAAGTTTAAGATTAGCAGTAACTATCACAGAGCCCCACAGGGCCCCAGACCCTGGGACTAGCACATGAGACATTGTCCCCAAGTACTTTGTGAGCACGGAGGTGGTAGAACGGAGGGCCCGCAGGGGGAGGTGATAAACGAGCTAGGTCATGTCAAGGAGTCAGGCAGAGACCAGAGATGGAGGAGAAAAGCACCCTGGGCAGAAAGAACTGTCTGAAAAAGATGCATAGAGATAGCGGCCACTGAGGGCAGCTAGAGGTGCTGGAGAAGGAGAGAACGTCAGTGAGGCCATGCTTGGACAGCCACCATTAGATCTGTGACCTCGGAGGGTGGGTGTGGAAGCTTGATTGCAAGGGAGGGGCATGGCTGAGCTGGAGACAAGGAGGGGAAGGCTGTGGAGGCCCTGTTAGCCAATTCTCCCTTGACTTTATTGATATTTAATATGTATAAGTATATGGCTTGAATAATTGCTTTCTTGACTTCTAACATAGTCCTAAGAAGGACTAAAAAACAAACAAACAAACAAACCCAAACAACAACAACAAACAAGAAGAAGTTGGTAGAAGGAGAAATGTGGGATGTAACTTTAGTGGTCAGGTCAATGCAGATGGCCTTTAGGGTAAGGAAGGTGTCTCAGGGTTTCTATTGCTGTAATGAAACATCATGACCAAAAAGCCAGCTGGAGAAGAAAGTGTTTATTCAGCTTACACTTCCGTATCAGTATTCATCATCAAAGGAAGTCAGGACAGGAACTCAAACAGAGCAGGAACCTGGAGGCAGGAGCTGATGCAGAGGCCATGGAGGGATGTGGCTTACTGGCTTGCTCCACATGGCTTGCTCAGTCTGCTTTCTTATAGAACCCAGGACCAGCAGTCCAGGGATGGCACCACCCACAATGGTTGGGCCCTACCCCATCAATCATTAGTTAAGAAAATGCCTTGCAGCTGGAACTTCCGGAGGCATTTTCTCAATTGAGGCTCCCTTTTTTCAGGTGACTCTAGCTTGTGTCAAGTTGACATAAGACTAGCCGGCACAGAAGGTGTGGTGGTTTGAATGAGAAAACTCCTCTTAGGCTCACATATTTGCATGCTTAGTCCCCTATTGACATGGTTTGGAAGGATTAGGAGGCGTGGCCCTGTCCAGTGGGTGTGGCCTTGTTAGAGGAAGTGTGCCACTGGGAGTAGGGGTCGAAGCTTCAAAAGCCTTTGCCAGGTCCAGTGTCTCTCTCTCTTCCAGCTGCCTGCAGTAGCTTTCAGCTACTCCTTAGCACCACGCCTGTCTGCTTCCCGCCATGATGATAATGGACTAACCCTCTGTAAGTAATCCCCCAATGAAATGTTTTCTTTTATGAGTTGCCTTGGTCATAGTGTCTCTTTACAGCAACAGAACACTAAGACAAGATTTTATTTGTTTTGGCAAGAGGAGCTAGCTAAGAGGAAGAGAGAGCACATTTAAGAGGAAGGGGGTACTTGGAGAAATAGTTCAGCATCAAAGAGCACATACTGACCTTCCAGAGAACCCAGGTTTGGTTCCCAGCACACACATGAGGCAGCTTCTGGCCACCTGTAACTTCAGCTCTAAGTGACTCACCTACCTATTCTGCCCTTCACAGACATCTGCACTCACACGCACAAACCGCAATCCAGATACACATACACACATATAATTTAAAGAATAAAATAAATCTTAAAAAAAAATAAGAGAAAAGTGGGAAATTGATGGAGCATAAGGATGTACATGAACGAGGCAGGCCCACAATACAGTTGATATTAAAAACAGAGATGATGGCTGGGGTGAAACTTGGTGGTATGGCACTTACCTGAACACACCTGAGGCTCTGGATTGGATCCCCAGCACTGTAAAACAATAAGGACGATGTCAGCGCCTACTGCAGAGGACTGTTATGGGCATTGGGTGAGTTCATTCACATGACACAGAACAGTTAATACACAGCGTGGCACACAGCTCACGGCAGATGCTAAGTAAGAGATAATGGTGCTGATGTTGATGCTGATGGCGGTAGTCATGATGAAAGCCTTGAGGGGACAGGAAAGATGAGGCCCACAGGTAGATACAGGGGCACTCATGTGAGAATTCTTTCCTCGTGAGAGGTAAATAAAGTCTACCCTCTCCTTTTAAAGTCCCAAGTGACAAACCAAAGTATTCGACCAAAATTCAACCTGGGGAACCAGTGGGTTTACAAGGCACAGGTGTGGGGGTAGTTATAGGCTTGTAGGGGAACCCAAAGTAGCCACACTGGGAAGTCTTCAACGTGAGTGATGGACACAGATGGAGTCCCCCTCCGTTAACCTTCCCCAGCCTACTGTGTGCAATCAGGGGAGGATTATATTCAAATGGTTGGAAGGTACAGGAGGGAGCCTCTGAAATCTCAGGCGAGGGACCGGTGTCTTTTCCCACCCACTCCCTCTCTGAGGGATGGTCAACAGTCCAACAGAGGCCAGACCTCAGGGGTCATCTGCAAATAGTCACAGCTGCTCTGATAATGTTTTGCTTGGAGGACAGTGCTCTACAACAGGTGGGAATGAGAGATAAAGAGACAGGAACACCTGGAGACAGGGAGATGGAGAAAGAAGAAAATCGCAGCGGGGGTGGGTGTGGGGTATAGAAAATGTCCAAATGAGTGGGACAAAGGAAGAGGTGGTGCTGCCCTTAGCCTCCGCCTGAGTTTGGACCCACGCTTCCCACTGGTGAGGAAATCCCGAGGGTCACAGAGTGTGCGTTCTCAGTCCCTGTCCCTCCTACTGACTCATTTAACTGGAATGTCTTGTCCCCGTGGTAGGATGTCTGACACAGCCAAGAGCAGTCCCGTTCCGGTCATATTGTCCCTCACGTCATCCTGAGAGCAGGCGGCAGCTCAGATGTGTACACCCTAGTCTCAGAGTTGGCATAGACGAACCGGACTGGAGCATGGGGAAGTGGTGTCTGCGTGTATGCTTTAGAGTTTCCTCATGACGATGGCTGGAGTTAGGCTGGCGAGAATTAGGTGGGCAGGTGTTCTGAGAAAGGCACGGGGTGCCTAGGTGGCAGGAGGATATTCCTCCCCTTCCATTGGGGTCCTGTATGGTAACCACTGCCGTGGTGTGTTCCCTCCCTATCAGTGTCTCTCTTGGACCCCAGAACCTTAAGTTCCCCGGTTAACCCAGTTGCATTGATACAAAAAAGGGGAGGGGAGGCAATCCTTCAGTCTTAACTGTGGTAGAACTCAAGGACATGAATGAAATAGTTGAGAAACCAGTACCCACATCATCTGATTCCCAAGGAGCACTTCGCTCTCTGAGCTTGGTTTCAGCCCAACAGGAGACACCTCCAGGAGTGGGTGCCACCGGAAACTCTGGGACCTGCTTCGAGTCTACTTAGCCCCAAAGGCGAGTCCGCCCCATCTGCACATCTTCCAGCCTCCTGAGAGTTCCTTTCCTGAGGGACTGCTAGGGTGACCTCGCCCGAAATGGACGAACCAGATGCCAGGAATCCCAAGAAGCTTCAGAGGTGGTCTACAGCTGCTGCGGCTGCTGCGGCTGCGCTGCACGAGTCCCCAGGCGCCTAGCGCCACCTTCTGGACATCGCTGGTCACTTTGCCCCTACAAATGTGAGGGACCAAAGAGGAACAAACAGCTTGGCTTGATGGGAGAGGCTGGGGATATGAGATGGTGACCCAGAGTGAAGAGCCAAGGCCCAGCGAGGACTCCAGGCTTAATGCTCCTCTCTAGGACCTCATCTGGTCACAGTGCGCGGCAGGTTTTCCCTGGAGGCCACCACCGGAGCCTCCAAGCACAGTGTTCTACATCCAGTCAGCCTGCCTCGAAATGTACTTCTAGCTGGGTCCCATAAGCTGGTTCTCTGCAATTAGAGAGACCATAGCCTTGGTATCTTGAAGCAAATGTATGACTTGCCAACACAGAGAGCAGTTTCTTGCGTCTCCATTTGCCCATGTGAGAATAGTGTGGGTGCCAACAGTGATGCACCGGGGCACAGTGCATGCCGGAGGCTCTAGAGTCAACTCCAGCACAATACTCAACAGGAATCCTAGTGTGGTTTAGTGGAAAGAAGACAGATGATACAGCTTGTAGCCCAGCGTTCAGGCTGTGACACCCTTTTTTAGAAAGGATAAAAAGAATGCGTTACTAATATTATTTCAGCCAAGCTCCTTCATGCCTATCCCAGTTACTGGGAGGGCGGGGCTAGTCTCTGAAAATCTAGAGTGGCTTGCAAGTAGGGCTGGGGTTTGGACAGAGAGAGGGGGGAGGGGTAGATGGTAGAGGTGAGGAGAGAGGAGACAGACTCAGGGAACCTGGAGAGAAGACGGGGCGGTGACTGTTGGTCTTGAACCCTGATGCTCCTTAGTAGCAAAAGACAGGCTGGTGGTTTCTTGTTTTGTTTTGTTTTTGAGATGGCCTCACCCTATGGTCCAGGCTGACTTGGAACTCTATATCTTAGGGTGACCTATAATCTGTGGTGATCCTCCTGCCCCAGCCTCCCAGATGCTGTGGCTTCAGTCATGAGACACTTCACTGAGCAATCATTTTTTTACTGTTTTGTCCACAGGGCTAAGCAGCTTCATTATAGGGGAAGAACTGACAGGAAGTGGAGATTTAGCAGACCACGTACAAAGAAAAGGCCGTGACTTCTTCCCTACAATTTTATGGAGTGGACAGAGGCAGGCCTGCAGGAAGGGTGGGAAACTCTTGTGTCCCAGGCAGAATCCAGCCAGAATTCCCCTCCTGGGAAGCCTAAGGAGGAGCCCTGGAATGTGTCCCGAGGGGCTCTAAGCCCAGCCTCTGCTGACTTCTGACTAAAGAAGCAGAAAAGTACCGGCTTGGGTGTCTGGTAGCAGCCTGCGCCTCCTCCACCCTGCCGGCCCACCTCCCACAAGCTCAGCCAGAAAGGTTTGCCTGTGAGAAAATCCACGGTACTCATGAGGCCCCTAGGTAAGGAAGGGGGTGACTCCAGGTGGCTTTGTGGGAACACAAGTATAGTGATTGCAAGTACTCAGCCTTTAGCTTGGTGTGGCCTGTAGATACTCTGGTCAACACTGGTGCACAAAAACTATGTGTGGGTTAGTGTTAGTTATCAATTTGATAAGATCTAGACTTAGCTGGGGGATGGACCTCTGAGCATGCCTGGATGGGTATTCGTGCTAGCCACAGTAGTTAGGTTTTACCACCACAGTCAACCTACTGTGGCTAGCACGATTCTGTGGCAGGGAATCCTGGACTGTATAGGGTGGAGAAAGGTTACTGAGCACTACCAAGCTTGAATTCACCACTCTCTGCTACTTAGCTACCAATGCAATGTGACCAGCTCCCTCAGGCTCGGCCATTGTGACCTCCCCACCATGATGGGCTGTGGACCTGGAACTGTGAGCTGAATTAACGCTTTCTCCCTGATGTGGCTTCTGTCAGAGTATTTTATCACATCCAGACAAAGTGCCTTTAACACAATGTGCACACCTGAGCACTCACTTCTCATTCGGTCATGAACTTAGTCATTACGCAGGGGAGATTTCTCCAGCCACACCCAGCCATGCAAGTGGAAGTAGGGAGCGGAGAGCCCATCCTGGCTGGCACTGTAATCTTCTGGATGCGTTCAAGGACCAAAGTTTCGGGTGTGTGGGCCACTGATTATAACCAAGAACCCTGGAACCCAAGCAGTGTGTGACAGAAAAGTGGTGAGGACGTGTCAGAAAAACTATACCATGTACCACACGGCCAACATGGACATCAAAGCGCGAGCGCGCGCGTGCACACACACACACACACACACACACACACACACACACACACACACACACACAGTGCTGCTGTGACCAGGCATTTCTGGTCTGTAAGCCGCTCTCGGGGCCGGGGCTAGGGAAACCTCCCCACACTCTCAACCAATTTCACAGCCTTTAACCTCTAGTAGGTCCAGGGGGGCATGGTGTTGTGTGGCCTTCTGTCTAGGGGGGCTTTCTCATCCCCGCCTCCTCTATTTTTACACATCTGACCATTGGAGAAGGGTACTGAGATCCAGATATGGGTCCTAATCAACCCTGCCCAGGTTGCAGAGATCCATCAAGCATGTTCCCTAGGTCTGGCATGGCTGATGCTAATTCACATGTTGAATATGCTGTTTGGGAGCTACGGAACATTGAGCACATTCATGCCACACTTTCCGTATGTGCAGGGATACGGATTTTTGTTTTGTTTTGCTTTTGAGATTGGGTTTCTCTATGTAACCACCCTGGAACTTGCTCCGTAGACCAGGCTGGCCTTGAACTCCGAGATCCACCTGCCTCTGCCTCCCTGGTGCTGGGATTAAGGGGGTGCCCCACCACTACCTCGCTGTGCAGGGTTATGGAAACCAACCATGGACACTGTCCTTCCCTGTCCTGTCCTTCCATCTGCTTCAGGGGAAAGATTCAGAATCACACACTCTCTGAAGGTGTAACCCAGGGGCTTCTTCCCAGGAGGGCTGAGAGTACAAATGACACCTGAAGCCACGCCCTGCAGCTCCAGCTTCCGGAAGACTTCAGACGCAGAACTGCTGTCGGCACCGCCTCCGTGTCAAACATCTCCTCTCCTCTCCATAAGAAGCACCTGGCATAGAAACCGTGAAAGAGGGATGGCCTTTGAGCCAGACATCCAACTCCTTTGAACCTCAGTGCTCCCTGTTGGGGCCGTGGAGCAGAGGGGTCTCCGTACTCCAGAGCCAGGGTCCTGTGGTTCAAAAGCCTCCACTCAACTGATTTAGTGAGCTTCATATGAATGAGATGAAAGGTTACTCAGAAGCATCAGCTTTCCAGCGGCACTCTGGGCTGGTCACTGTGTGAACGGCTACTGGAAACTGGTAGGTGTGTCTTTAGCAGATGTGATGGCTAACACTGACTGTCGACTTGACAGACTCTGAGATCAGAAGACAAACCTCTGGGTACATCTATCAGGGTGTTTTCTCTACTGGCTTAACTGAAGTGGGAAGACGTACACTAAATGTGGGTGGTCCTGGATGGCGTAAAACGGAGCAAGCCAGTGACTGTGCCAGGCTTTTTCTTTGGGGCCACCAATCAACACCCAAATTATGACACAGGGACTTGTTAGTTGTGAATGCTCAGCCTTATCTTAGCTTTTATAAAATCTGTTTCCCTTTATCCACATTTTGCCTCAGGGATTTTCTTTCTTTCTCCCTTCCTCCCTTCCTTCCTTCCTTCCTTCCTTCCTTCCTTCCTTCCTTCCTTCCTTCCTTC